AATCATGATTTATTTGTAACCGGCAACTCCATCTGTCGTCCAATTCATAAACCAACGAGACGGGCGTGAACTGAAAAGCTGCGCAGTGATGAAGCCTTGGCGCATTTTCAATTTTCCAAGTTCCCCAACAGCCCGCTAGATGGCGCTACCGGTCGCATTTCAGACGGCAACGCACCGACGATATTTTCGTATAAGTAACGTTTTGCCGAAAGTTTATTTTTATATCTGGCCGTTTTATAAGTGGCCCAGGAAGTTAATATATGACACGGCGCGAGCAGAATGTAATTCTGCAACGTCGAGAGTTTTCCATAATGTTATTGTTTTGCTATGATCGTATCGAAAATATCGACGGAAAAACCTCTCCATGCTATTACTAGAAGTAATATATCGCGGGGCACAAATGAAATTTAGCACTAAAATAAAACAAAACCACATAGACTAATCATTTCTAATTAATAAGAAGTGCTTCATATAAAACACAATCAAATAGTTAAGTCAGCAAGGCGATTTTTGTTCGATAAATATTTTGTATTTATTTCGCAACGGCATTGCCCGTTTTGGTATGGATTCTAACACACGTTTCTGTCTGTGTCCTTTGTTCAAACGAAGGCTCGGGTCGAGAAAGGAGCCCAGAGCCATTCGGGTAACCGGATACGTGGAATGTCGGCGCGGAACATATATGGCCAGCTGAGAGTGGCGCAAGTACGGTTTGCGCTATTATTTCCGACGGGCCGCGTTCAACACGAGCGCGTTTAACAAAATCTCGCTTTAATTGACTGATAATCCGCAATACGGCAATTAATATACCCACAAATGTGCCAATTGGCTTGTTTAAGGGTCCACCGAAGTTTCGACGTGTCCAAATATTGACGCATTAATGATTTGTGCAAACTTTCGTTATCCGTGTCTAAATACAATTTCGTCTTTTTATTATTGCTGTAATTATTATCAGTTAGTAAATTTTAACAAAGCTTCAGGCGTCCTAATATATTTAAGAAGATAATTAACTGGTCATATGAAAGTTAAAAATTCAACATTTTAGTTGTTTTTGTATATTTAAAAATATCATTACGTGAACACTAGGTATCTTATAAAACTAGTGTTTCAATAACATTGTCCATACTAATTTGAGCCGTTGAGCCCTTCACTAAAAATATTTTAATCTTGCAAATTGTAAAGTCAATAAATAAACAGCGATTAACGAAACGACATTAATGAAGAGAACATTTATTCACGTGATAAGCTGGAATTCTTTCGCGTCTCCGAACAAAGACATTCCGTCAATTCGTAAACAGCCGTCGCTAATGCGAAATTGTTTACGGTCCGGACTTCCCTTAGAAGTTTCAGACAGCGGCGAGTCAGGTACTGAAATTATTCATCAACGGTTTCAAGTTAACTTTTTCCGAGGGGACTGGCGGTGAGCATTACTTGTTTATAAAATATGGTACTCTACACGGCTTACGTCAATCAAGACGCAATATTTCATCTTCGAATACTGTGTTCTTAGTTGTATATGACAAAAACAATGTAGATGTTAATAAATCTGATTATATTTCATGACTTGGTCCAGATCCCACACAACGATAAATCCTTGATTGAAAAACAAGATTTAAGACATTAAGTCTCTTCCAGATATTAAAATGCGTGAAACGTGATATAAATAAATGTAGATGATAGAGTATGCTTAAGATTATTTTTTATGTGAGAAGGGGGCAAGTCAGGTCGCGATTCACCTGATGTTAGGTGATCACCACCTCCCTAGGACATTTAGAAGACCCATAGGGTTGGAGATGCGTAATCACCTTATAATTCAATGAGCCCCGGCTACCTCACTCACTAGACGCTGAAGTATAACATTTTCACTTCACGCTGTTCTTCAGGTCTTCTGTGAGGTTGTGGTACTTCCTTCCATGGATAGACCTACCTATATGAGCAACAGCGAAGACTGTTGCATGGCCCTACCACACTGGAAAGCTTAAGATAGCTTAATGCGTACATTTTATCAATAATCTTTACCCTAAAAGACGACTAAACATAGTAAAACCGAAATATGCACTTCAGAGTTGCAACCATAAATGTTCAGATAATGGCAAATGTAATCATATAAGAAGGGTAATCCACCTAAATATGGAGTTAACGTAAAGTATGGGAAGGCAAGAGAAACTGAACCAATGCTCCAATCATTGCCGAGTCACCACATAAATACTTATAAATTTCTTATGTAATAGAAGGAACCAAAATAAATATCAAAAATAGTGTTCACTGTCCCACTGTTCGTTATTTTATCAAATCATGCTGGCTTAGCATCAAAGAAATCTTAAGGCGACATGTGCCGCATTAATTAAGATCGATGTTGCAATCCGCGATGAAATTAAAGATTTGAAATTCCGTGTTGAGCTCAGCGCTGGCCGGAATCTAGAGACTGGCGAAAAGAAGTGTCGTAAAGTCTGAAATAACGGTTTATATGTGACGAAAAATAATTCTGTTAGTTACAGTAGGTGTGATATTTCATTTTTAAAATACACACGAGGATTTTGATTATTTAAAAAAAAAGCTACTCTAATTACCTCCTTGCTCGTTTGTCTTATTTTTCTTAAAAGTGCATAACAGAAAAATATCTCGTTCATACATCTGAAAGATTTTGCCCCTATACTACGGTATGCCTTCATAAAAATAATATAGTTGATAAAACAACATGGTTCCGAAAATAAATGATGGACATGTTCTGCCGACCCCACCTAGTGTGAGATAATGGCAGGAGAAAGAAGAAGATACTACGGTATACCTTCCAAATGCTTTATAAATATATCTAAGCCGAATCCGTGGAAGATTAGTATGTCTGACTTGTTTTCCTATTAAAACAAACATTACATAACTTTGAAGTATATACATGTATATATATTGTTTAGAAATTGTTTCTAAAGTAGCGTAAAGTAACAGCCTATGTATGTTCTACAGCTTGTCAAAGATCTCTTCTGTACTACTGGTAGTAAGTAGTACAGAAGAGATCTTTCTACTAGCAGGGCTTAGACCACCAGATGACTCCACCGTGAAATATATTTTTTCATTATTATTATTTCGACAATTCCTTTTTTTATTAACGATTAAAAAGGCGACATCAAATATCTCGCGCTATATTCATTTTATAATTGATTTTCAGGAGTTACCTAGTATCTCCGGAGCTCGAAATCCAATACCAATGAAATTAATACCAGACCAGATGGGAAATACATTATATACGTTTATCTAATATATAAAATTCTCGTGTCGCGGTGTTTGTAATTGTACTCCTCCGAAACAGCTCCACCGATTCCCATGAAATTTTGTATGCATATCGACCAGGGTGGAGAATCGGACAACATCTATTTTTCATCCCCCTACATGTTAAGGGTGGTCCACACCAAACATTTCTTTCTACCCTACAAATAATTTATATGGCAAAACAACGTTTGCCGTATGGACATATATTTTCACTATCTTTATATATATAATTCTTATGTGCGTGTGTATATCCTGAATTCCTACTAAACTGGTTTGGGTTTACAATTCGGCCCATTACCTTTTTCTTAAGTTGTTGTCGAATTTACGTCGTGTGTACAGGACCACGTCAGTCGGGTTTGCAAGCATCTTAATAAATAATTATCAAAAGGTTGGCGTTTGTTTTTAATTAAGCATCGCTCGAGCAACCTGAGTTCAAATCTCGGTACCGGCACCAATTAAAGCAATTTTAAGTGCTGACTTATCACGTGCTAAGGGGTCTAATTCAGCACTTAATATAGGCTCACACAATATAGGCTTTTACTTTTTCAAAAAGCACGTATTAATAGCGTATGCATTATGTTTTATTGTAATGTATTCATTCACCTTGCTTCAAAGTATATAATATTCAAAACTTGTAAAACTTGCCAAATATTGTCAATACCCGCCTCTTATACGCGCCATACTTTTTTATATCATTATGAAGAAATCCCTAATAGAAAAACTGCAAGTGTAGCTCTGTAGCACAAACAGGCTTTAATTGGTTTTAATTTTACTCTATTATAAGAAGATCGAGTCAAGCATCATTTTTTTCGTGATAAAACTAGATTTATTTTTATTGAAAAAAAAAAAACAATACCGAATTCAAGTATGTTACTCACTACACATTTTTTTATTTGGTTTTGTGGAGTCCCCTGATATATTCTAGTACAGAGTCAAATACTATGAAATAGGTATAATTTTTAACAAAAAAAGCCGACTAATCAGAAAATTAAAAACATTGTTAATACTATAGGTATTACTATACATTCAATGATGGCCCTCAATTTCTCTGGGATGCCATCATCAGATCCGGAATCCCTTCCGTGGTATCCACCCTTGGGATATCTCCTTTCCGACAAAAAAAGAATAATCAAAATCGGTTCATAAACGACGAAGTTAACCACGAACACACATAAAAACAATAAAAATATATACGGTCGAATTGAGAAACCTTCTTTTTTGAAGTCGGTTAACAAATATACAAAAACAACTTTTAAAAACGATTCATAAACGATGGAGTTCTGCGATGACATACATATACGGTGGTAGGGCCACGCAGCAGCCTCGGCTGATGCACGACTGGGCAGGCCCGTACGGGTAAGTACCACGTACTCACAGACAGCGTAAAGTGGAAGTATGACAAATACTTTCGCGTTTCGTCTGGTGAGTGAGGTAGCCGGAGCCCAATTTTCAAAAGGTTGTCGACGCATCTGTAAATTCGATGTGGCAAATGTGCATGGGCGGTGGTATTCACTTAACATCAGGTGAACTGTCTGCTCGTTTGACATAAAAAAATACATGTAAAAATGCTGCCGAATTGAGGACCTTCTCCATTTTTGATGCAAACTGAAGTAAAAGTAATAGCCTATAAATGTCCCACAAATGGGCAAAGGCCTCCTCTGTACAGCAGGCTATTAGAGTACAGTTTACCACGACGTCACATGTCCACGAAATATTTTTTCTGTTATTATTTCGAAAATATGCAGGTTTGTTTTCCCTCGCCGCTTAGCACGTGATAATTCGGCACTTAAAATTGACAATTTCATTGGTGACGGCACCGGGGATCGAACTCAGGTCGCCCGAGTAGGTATATTGAATTAAAAGTGACCGCCCGGACACTGACCTATCACTGCTATGACTGCATTTTCGATGTCGGCTGTAAGAATCATATTGTACTCGTATATCTCGGTCGAACGGTGTATTCCCACATAAAACTGCGATAAGTCCGATGGCTGTTTGGACTAATAAGTCACACCTAATCCAGGCATTAACACCGCCACAGATTCTTGCCAAAAACCTTGCACGCACCCGCTTACTTCAATCATCGCCCGTAATTGTTTCGTTTCTACTCGCTACGAAGCGTTGATATAGATAGAAAAAAACAAGACCAGTGTTCCCGTTGTTCCTCCTTTAGAATTTTTATATCTACATGTGGTACATTAGGCGAAACAAAACACTTTTGACGATTTCAACTGAAGACTCGTTCAGTATACATTCAACATACTTTTCTGTTTTGCTGAAACCATTTAGCCACGGGTCAAGGACTCCGTGGCGCAGTTGCCAAGATATTGGCTTTAGCGTCGGGGGTCGTGGTTGCGATTCCCACAGTAGACAACTATTTGTGTGACCCACAAATAATTGTCTCGCATGTAAAGGACAATTGTAAAGGACAGACGGAACAAAAATGGTTATTACAAACTTACAAGCAATATCATTGCGATTTTTATTTATTTATTTATTTGTTAATCCTTTATGCACTAAAAGTAGGAATGCGGACTTAATGCCAAAGGCATTATCTCCTAGTCGACCTTAGGATGGTACAGAGAAGATTATTATTAGGTAGGTGCTCAAAAAAATATAAAAAAAAAGACAAACGGTAACTGATACTTACAAGCGACATATCTTATGTCATTTGTATTTTTAAGCTAAGGTCTTCGATGAAGATTCGGTTTTCGCAGGCGTCCCTTCAAAACATATTTATTATGAAATGCATAACTGGGTTCCTTTACGAATTCTTACATTTTAATATCAAAATATTACCATCGTAAGATAAAATAATAAAGAGTTTATTAACTATTCAAGTATCGTACACCTTCGGTTGTGTCTATTTTTTTAATGTCACATGTTCTAAACGCATCATCGACGAACTTAAATCTGACGTCCTCCAAAATTTACATCACTGTCCGCGTCGATATCACTCACATTAATACACTGTCCTGCCCCATATTTGTGGAAATTGCTATATTTCCATTAATTAACTCTTTTAATTAATTACTACGCATTTTCTTGCTGATAATTGATCTATGTATCTATATCACAGAATCTATAACACAGAAAAAATTGTAATCGCTCCACCTGTTTTGTTTGCTCCTAGAATTAATTAATTTGTCTGCGATAAATCGACGGTAATTTTCGATCATAAATCGGTTCTTATTATCGAGTTGTGTTATTTTAGCTGAATCTCCAAATACATTCGGTCTTAAACAGTCGTGTAACCGCTATTAGCGTGGAGGACATAAAGATACGTGACCATTAATCACAGGTGCTAGGGCATTTCGCCGCACAGGTCAAGGAATGAGCGGTAGCGGGAGCGGCAGCGGAAAATCTCGCGGGCGTGAATCGCGTGGGCGCGCTAGTGATGAGACCAACAGCTATATTTATTCGTATCTTTATAACACTGCTATTTGTGAGATTAAAAAGTCGCGTTATTCAGAAAGCTTTCAAAATAAATAACAGCTACGGGCGACGATCGCGAAATTCTTAAACTCGCCAAACATTACCCGCGGCCTAGAAGTTTCCTCATAATACGTGCAGAGGTTAAATCAAATTAATCTCTCCGATTAAAAGTAAACTGTTAGCCGTCAAGGGTGCGCCGAGCGACGTCGACGGTGCACGTTAACGGGCGTTCTTTTCGCGTGGTCCAGTGGCAAGTATTAATAGCGCGCGCGGACGCAGCGGCCGGCGGCGGCACTAGTGCGCGGTTTGTTTACGGCGGGGCGCAGTCCGCGCCGCGCAGAGCAGCCGCCCGTGCTGCTGCGCGCACCCTATATTCAGTTCACGGCCGCTCTATTACCGGGCGGCTATTTCGGCGCGAGCGGGCGGCAGGTGCGCGCGCGCCGGCATGCGCGCCTGACGGCCATGGAGCGCCGCCGCCGCCCCAGCAGCGAGCCCATGGCCAAGGCGGTGCGACGCCGCGACCGCCCGCGCGAGCGATGGCTGCTCACGCGCAAGACGTGGAAGTACATGTCGGACGCCGGCCGCCGGCTGGTGCCCGACGGCGCGCAGAACCGCGCCGAGGACGTGCCCCGCATCGAGGCCTACTTCCAGGAGGTGTGCGCCCGCGAGCCCCGCTTCCTGCTGTGGCGCAAGAGCTCGTACCCGAGCGCGTTGCCGCGTCCCAGGCGAAAGAAGAGGCCAAGGGGGGGCTCCGTGCGCGCACGCTCGCCCCCGGACGAGGCGCCGCCGCGCCCCACCGAGCTGCTGATAGGGCACACCTCAGGCGGACGCTTCGATCTTGCAAAGTTGCGCAGAGACTTCTTCGCGACGCCGCCCCCGACGCCCGCGGCCACCGCGTTCTCGCTAGCGAGCAAAGCGCCCGGCGATGACGACGAGGGCGCTCTAGTCGATTTGCTGAGAAAGTACCTGAAAGTGGAGGATGACAAGATCGCGCCGAGGATCACGGACGCTGAGGAGTTAGTGTTAGCGATTAGGCGGTACCTGAAGCGGCAGACAGAGCGCTCTCCCGCCGACTCCGACTCGGACCCCGCGCGGAGGGCGCTCCTCGACACCCTCGGGAAGTATTACACGCACGCGCCGAACAGGGACAATTCAGTGCAGGACTTGTTGAGCGATAGGAGTTTGTTGAAAAGACTCTATCAGGACTTGCGTAAGACTAAGCCGTACCGCGGCGGCAGGAGTGGCGGCACCGGCGGCGCGGGCGGTTTTGGTGCGGGTGGTTACAGTGGCGTCGGCAATGCCCGCAGCGCGGCGCGCAGCCGGGTCCTCAGCGGTGTTCGTATTTACGATGGCGAGGATGGCTTCCGCTCGCCGCCGATGTCGCCGCCGCCCCTCATCGAAGTCATCTCCGAGTCGCTGGAGGACAAGTTCTGCGACCGCGGCACGCAGACCGTCCCCATCCCGGAGGAAGTGTTATGCGAGCTGGAGCGGGCTTATCGTGAGAAGCTGGAAGCGGCGACGGCGCCGACCAGCCCGACGAGCCCGCCGCCCGAGAGGAAGCCGGCTCGGCGCCGCTCCAGCGTCGACCACGACGACGTCTCGCAGTCTGTCAGCGACACTATCAAGCGTTACCTGAGGATGGCGCGCAAGAAGAGCGTGGACTCGGAGAAGGTGGACCGCTTCAAGCGGATCAACTACGACAAGAACCTGCGCAACATAAAGCCTCGCGTGCCGGGCGAGGTGGACGACGACGGCCCGCACAAGGGCTGTCAGACGGAGGAGGGGTGGATCCTAACGTACCGGGACTTGCATTTCGCGTCAGTGGCCTCAACGCCAACCTCGCCCCCGTCTCCTACGCAGTCGCACTCGTTTCTGTCAGCCCTGCTGGGCCGCGGTGTGACAACAGCTCCCCCCGCAGGTGGCATGCAGAAGTCGCGCTCTTCCAGCAGCGTGGTGCAGAGTGTTAGCAAGCGGCTGTGGCGCACGCGCAGCCGCTCCTCCAGCCGCGTCTCCGCCACGTGGACGCCTCAGGTCAGTCGCACTTGAATCCTTAACCCGCGCTGTGTGCTGTGCATCGAATACCGTTTGTCCCACTAACATATCCTATATGAAAAGTAAGCACAAGTTGAATATCTCTTATATTTTGCTAAACAACCCAAAATCGCGTTAGAAACTGTCAGTTTCCTATATGAAAAGTAAGCACAAGTTGAACCTCTCTTACATTTTGCTAAAGAACTCAAAAACGCTTTAGAGAGTGTCAGTTGGATAGTAAGCTTCCAAAATTAAAAATTTTATATTCGTTCATAGGATGGGATACTGTATGATATTTCGAACATAGTATTCACTATTTATTTACGATACACAATACATATAACAAGATTTAACTAACCTGAAAATTCAATATGTAATAATTAAAAATCAAATATAAAAATATAATTAATTTTGACTAGAGTTGAAACTTTTCCGTGTACATGAACGCAGTAAAATGTTTAAAATTTAAAGACAGTTTACAGTTTTATTTAACCATTGAAATATTTTATCCTGTGATTATTGATTAAAAACAATTAAAATATTTAGGGTACATCCAAATATCAGTAAACAAACACTTCTACTAAACATAATTTAAAAGATTTATACTAGATTTTTCAGAAATATTAAATTTGTTTTTTAATTATTTAATTTAGTACTAAACACAATTAAGTGCATTTCAATACCGTAAGCATATATTTATTTCAAATAAAAAACCTAATGTGTAAGTACACATATACTTTTTACGCAAATAAGAAGTTATGATTCTTCAGCGTATAGACATTAAATGAAATTGGTAACCGTTTATTTAAATAACTTGGAGTTATTAGACAATGAAAAAAAAAATTCTACTTGGTTGCCAAGATTAAATTGGTTACAAAGAATCATGTCGCTTTTTGGGCGTCATTGTGCTTATATCATAAAAATTTTACTCTCATAATTTTTCGTAACGCGCCGAAAGAAGTATAACTTAAAAGAATTAAATACTTTTTATATTGCTGAAGGTGGTTAGTAAGCAAGATTGCCTTTCTCCTGATTTCTTTATCTTGATGATGTTACTCTCATAATTTTTCCAAACGCACCAAAAGAAGTCATCATCGTCATCCTCTTGGCCTTATCCCATCTGGGTTCAACAATCGTAAGTGGTTTTGTCCTTGGGAAACAAACACCTATATCCGGAGCCATTACCTGTGGCCCACACAAATACTTGCCCAGTGTGGGAATCGAACCCCACGACCCCCGACGCCAGCGTTATTGAGCAGCCGCCTTCTTCCTCCTTCCCATCCTTATGATATGATTCGCCCATGGACATATAAATCACCACTCACCAACGATACCTCACTCACCAGACGGAGCGTATAATTTTAATACTTCCAAGGATGATTTCTTAAACGTATATAAACTCTGCTGCCTGCCAGCAAGTGTGACTAGAATACAAAGATTAACACTGTTCACCATCTTTGCACGGCTGTTATCCGATTCAATTGGTTCTATAATTGTTTTATACAATATATAAAGTTTGACGCGTTACTGTACATACCTGTGTCCATTACTTTTATGCCAATATGACAAACCTCCAAACAAAATTCTGGCTCGTTGCAAGTAAGAAGCGCGCTCCTGATATTAGTTACACCCTAAAATAATTTCATTCATCTCAATCTCTTCGATTATCTTTTCAAATCTAGATGATTGAGCGGTGAATGCGTGCGCGCGTTTTGCATTTAACATCACAGACAAAACAAAGAGAAACATCAAAACAGAGCAATCGGCACTATTGGAACAGACTAAACAGTACAATTTAAGAAAAAAAAAATACACTGATTAAAAGGCATCCATTTCGTAATCGACACACAAGCAAACAAATCGTCTCACCTTCATGCACCTATAATTGAGTTCCAAACGGTTAGGAATCATCAATTAACCGGTATACATTATAGCTATACATTATATCAACCGTATACAATTTTTTAGGAAATGGATATAAAGAAAAGTCGCATCTATAACATTTTTTTTTATGTGAGGAAGTGGCAAACGAGCTGGCGGTTCACCTGATGTTAAGTGATAACCGCCGCTCATGAACAGTTGCAACACCCGTAGGGTTGCAAATGCGTTGCCACCTCTTAATAATGTGGGCCCCGGCTACCTCACTCACCAGACGAAACGCAGAAGTGCAACACTTCTACTTTACGCCGGTCTTCTGTGAGGTCGTGGTACAGACCCGGACGGACCTGCCCATTCGTGCAACAGCGAACACCGTTGCGTGGTCCTACCACCGTATAATCTTTAACATCTTTAAATAATTGATTTTTTGGCTCCCGTGATGGAAAGTGATATCCGCCGCCCATGAATATCTGCAACAACGGAAGGCTTGCCAATGCGTTGCCGGCCATTCACGAGAGAATATACTCTTGTCTTGAAGGTTCCCAAGTCGCGACAATTCGGAAAGACCGTCGGCGGCAGCTTGTCGACAGAGTGGTTGTGCGAGGCAGGAAATGCATAACCTATTGCAATTGCACAGCAAACTTTGAACAGCAAAATAACTGCAATGTCCTCGATATGAACTAATTTTCAATGAGACAACCCATTATTCGTATGTAAGGTGAAACTTCGTTCATTAAAACTAACATTCTATTTTCTTATATCGATCAATAATGGTGTACACAGGTAGAGCTGCGATAGCTCAGTGTCTGGGCGCTCACTTTTAATTCAATATACTCCAAGAACCTGAGTTTAAATTCCAATGAAATTGTCAATTTTAAGTAGTTAGGGAAAAAAATGTGAAGAAACCAGCATATTTTCGTAATAATAACAAAATAAAAATTTTTCGTACAAATGTGACGTCCGCCAATACACAATGGGGTCGCGTGGACTATGCCCTAATACCCTCTGTACAGAGGAGGCCTTTGCCCAGCAGTGGGACTTCCATAGGATGTATCTTTGCTTTAACTAAGTAACTAGTGTTGTGAACGTTTGACTACGCTCACAATATGCCAACTTTTGATCATTCTTTTTTCTCATTTATCTATTCTCATTTCCAATTCTCATTCCATTCATTCCACTCATTCATTTCCATTTGATCTCCAATGTTGTCCAAAACTTCCATGCTATTGCCTCCCATGCAGCTTCGTATAAATTAGAACTCCACAGGTATACAAACTGTAGAATATTTTACCACTGACAATTCAAATCAAAACTGTTTGTTTACGCGTTGATTCTGGGTGGCCGGTTTTTTTGAATACCGACTCAATCACTTAGGCACACTGCCATCAAAACTGGCGCTATCCCTATAGTTTTAGCAACACATGTGGTTTAACGTGCAGCCATGCAAACTTAGCCTATATGTATGTCTTTTACTTCAATCTAACGGAAAACAGAAGTTCACATACCGGCACCAATGAATTTTTGAAGTGAAAGCTTCATTAGCATTTTTTTATGAACAAAAATCATGGAACTCACGTCATCCTCACCGGACGCTTTCCATGAGCTATTTTTGAAAAAGGAATACGCAAAAATATATTTGTAGTTATGGATATGTTATAAATACTGTTATTATCGTTCGGAGTGCCTATAAAATATGTTACACAATTCATATTTCCACTTCTGTCGGTAATCCCCATGAGACTGTCTTTGTTTTTTTATTGGAACAAAAAGAGAAGTAACAACAAAGAGTAATAGAGGAAAACACCAAATACTACAATAGAACAATTTGGATGGCAGTATTTGTTAACAGTTTTGTACTCAGTGCTGTAAACGAGATAATTTGTTATCTGGCCCTCGGTGTTTATGGTATTGCGTAATTTAATATAGGCTCAATGATTTTTTAATGTAAGGGTTCGAAACGTCGAGAATTAAAAATCAAAATTATAACGCGATAAAATCCGTAAACTAGTTTCTCTATCTTCTGTTGTGTGTTCAGCGTCAAAAAGCTACCACCGATTAAGACCTGTCCGTGGAAGAACCGGCAGGAAACTCTGCGGTCTAGTTCTCACTTTTAAGATTCGGTACCCAAAGGCTAAAACGGGACCCTTTTGCTAAGACTCCGATGCCTCTCTGTCTGTCTGTCCGTCAGTCACCAGGTCTGTCATGAACCATTATAAACAGTTGCAATTTTCATAGATGATGTATTTCTGTTTCAGTTTTAACAACAAATGCTAAAGAACAGAATAAAAAAATATTTTAGTGGGACTCCCACATAACAGAAATTATTTTTTGCCGTCTTTATAGATAACTTCGTGCGCGAGTCCGGTTCGCACTTGGCCGGTTTTTTCAATCTTAGCTCGGAGTTGCTGCAACTGCCGCGACACAAATCGGAGCAGGAGAGTTTACCGGACCTTATGGCCTGATCCGGGCTGAGTAAGCTTCTGAAGCTCGCGAGTAACGGAGCAAAAAAGCGGTGCGCCTCATTTAGAAACGATCCCACGGCGGCCTGCGGCCTCGACGCCGCATACCTCATTATTCCTCGGCGAATAGCCGAATAATTTCTCGCGAGCATAAATCCCCGCTCCTGAAAGGCCGACGCGACGCACACTAGATCTCAACATATACACGTTGGTGTGTAGAACGAGTGCTGTTTAGTGAAGAGTGTTATCGTTCGAACTGGAATCACGCTGTGTATGTCTCTCTCTATCTCTTTCTCTTACCTACTTTTAATTCCACATAGCGGTGGAGTCAGCTATCCTCTAACATCCTCCCCTCTACGTACGATTCGGATGTATTACTTCATTTTCATACTGCATCTAACCATCTCGTTTTTGGCTTCAAGTAATGTAACAGCCTGTACATGTCCCACTGCTGGGCACAGGCCACCTCTGTACATAAGGGCATAGTCCACGAGGCGGTCCCACTGCGGATTGGCGGTCTTCACATATCTTCGTAATATATAATTTTTATTATTATTTCGAAAGCTATCACGGCTCCCTTGGACTTCTAATATGTCTAAAATCTCTGGAAATATACAGTCAGGTTATCTACATATGTAATTCTTTATACGCTGTCTCATACAA